TAAAACACAGCATTATAGTTTGGTTGGTTGTTGGGTTTTTTTTACATTAGCAGATGGTGTCTTCAATTTTTCAGAAGACTAAGTATTTTAACAACTATTAAGTAAAAACTTATTTATCAGTTGTGCTTACCTGGAGAGGTTATTTGTGATCAGGTGAGACTTCTTACAACTCCTCCTCATGTACCTTGCCTAGTACTTAATTGGCAAGTATTCCCTCCTCCTGGCTCCCTCCAGTTCTGTGAGCAATTGTAGCTCCTCATTAGTATCACACATCACATTCCATAGTGGGCATTACTTCCCCCAAGAGCACAGATTTCATTTCTGCAGTTAGCTTCCAAAAGAAAGGCACAATTGCTGAGAAAGTTTAGAGCAGGTGGAAAGAGCACTGAGTATGAGTGACTGCATTTCTGGTTCACTGCCTTTGGAGAATAGATAATCCACCATAAATTAATATATAACTCTATTCTGTGGCATCAGTGACTTTGGAAATGGTAACAGTGGGGCTTTATTTTCAGATTCCAGACTTAAACATAGTATGAGAATTGGTATGATATGAAGATTTGAAGATTTTCATAAGCCTGGTGCCAATAAATATCACCTATAATGTCTGATGGACAATTCTATGGAGCAAGTATGTGCATTTCAGACGTGGGCCATCAGCTCTGTGGAGGACAATAAGAACTCAAACTACAAAGTCATTGCTATGAAACTGGGTGACAAAGGGATGAGACACAAAATCCATGCTCTGGAATCCATGGTTTGGTGGTGGATTTGGCAGTGTTAGGATTATAACTGGATTGTGTGACTTGAAAGGTCTTTTCCAACCAAAATGATTCTGTGATTCCATACAGAGGCAATAAAGGGTATAATTAAGGATCAGAGTTAGGAAACAGTCAGAGATGCTGCTAGAAACAGCAAACACAGATAGCAGTGGTGGAAGTAATGGACGATGGAGAGGCAGAACCAGGCTGTTAGAACCCATGTGTGGAATCTCTGCAGGCATCAATGCATGGCCAATGTTTCAGGAAAGCTGCTGAATTACAGTGTGTTAGTATCTGAAAGTTTTCAAATCACTTTTGCAAATGGAATGTAAGCTCTGAAATTACTCAGAGGTGAGCTGTCCAACCTGGCATCTGTTGTACAACCTCTCTTTCCCTGTCATCTGTGTCTCTCTGGCATGTCACCTTCTTTCAGGCAGCTTCAAATTTTACAATTCCCTTGAAAAAATATAATACTTTCAGCATGTAAATACCCCCTACAGCGGGGTTTATTTTTTGTTCGAGGTCTAATTCTGCTCCTAAAGAAATAAATTCTCAACTATTCTCTGGTTTCAGTAGTGCAAGCTTAGACACATTTAGATTAATGTAATCTACACAGACACAGCATTTTGTGCGTTTGTTTTCTCTCTGTTTTTGACCTCAGACAATAACGTGCTTTGTAGCTGGAAAGCAAAGCAATATCCATTTCAGAGCTTAAGGGGGTGAAAGAGGCGAGATCCACCTGCAGAACCCTCCTGGCACAGCCTCTCCTGGGACTTGTGTTTGTTAGCCAGTTAATTGTTGTCCTGAAAGGTCATCAACAGCTTTACCACAGAGCACATTTGCTGTTTTCCCAGGCTCTGGTACAACAGCAGGTGTGTTTATGGGTAGTACACAGCAGAACCAGGAAAACTGAAGATAAATGACCCTGTGCCCTTTTTTTGGTTCGCTGGTGTTTTTGTGCTCCTAGTAAACACAGCCTTGGTCAGAGAGTTCAACTACTACTTACATCTTCTGAATCAAGTGCTGTAGCAGCACTGTGTGAAGTGCAAGTGCTACAGAGAGGTAACAAGAAATGTGAGATGTGCCCTAACAGGGATGATCTAAACCTCTGCTGCACCCATACCCACGTTATGGAAATATCTCACAGTCTGAACTGACTACTCAGTCCAGGAAATCCTTGATTATATTTAATCCTGAAACTACACAACACAGAGATAGAAGTCTGATCATCAACAACAGTTAAAAAACATTCTCACAAAATAATATTAGTCACATACTCAAATTTTATAATTTCCTTTTAAAAAAATGTAACACTCTCAACATGCAAGTACTCCCAAGAGTGGGGTTTATTTTTCATTTGAGGTTTAATTCTGCTCTTAAAGAAATAAATTCTCAACTATTTTCTGGTTTCAGTAGTGCAAGCTTAGACACATTTAGATTAATGTAATCTACACAGACACAGCATTTTGTGCATTTGTTTTCTCTCTGTTTTTGACCTCAGACAATAACGTGCTTTGTAATTGGAAAGCAAAGCAATATCCATTTCAGAGTTTAAGGGTGGCTTTGAGTAATGGCACTGCAGTTACAAAAATAAAGGCCAGTCTGATTTTCCCTCTTTTATCATTATTTTCAAAACCCTCCCATGTACATTTAAAATTATAGAGAATATATTGCTTTAGAAATATCCCAAAGCATCAGAACAAAAATTGGTATCTTCTACCCTTACTCAGAAGGTTGTCCAGCACCTCTTAAGACTGACAGGGAACAGGATGCTAGAAGACACAGAAGTCCAGGATGAGCATGTTCTGGTCAGGAGCTCAGCAGCAAAGCTAAGCTCTTCCCCACTCTGTGTTTCTTAGTTTCTTCCTTTGAATGTTCCCAGAGATTCTCTTTGGTAGTTGTTGAACAAGCCCCAACTCATCTGTGAAGAGAAATAATAACACTTAGCAGTTTGACACAGTTTCATCCCAAGCTGTGTTTCTGTGGCAAGCCTGCAAATACAAAAGCTATGGGCTCTTTTGAGGATTAAGGGGGCAGGCAGCACATCAGTCCCAGTGCCCAGCACAAAGAATGAGTTATGTTTTAAAGAAACAGAGAATATCAGTTGGTTGACTCAGTAATTCCTGAAATCAGTAGTGCAGGACAAGCACACACCACTGAACTTGAGCCCAACCTGGACTTCAAAGGGACCAACTGAGAGGCTTTATTTGGTTGCTTAAACCCTGGGCAGTGAGGCAGAGACGGGACTCCTGCACACATAGCAAACACAAATGTTTTGATTCATCTGTTTGTTTCTTCCTTTTCTTCCTGGTCAGGTTCAGGTTTTGTGTCATTACAAAACTGCAGTAACATGTTGGCAAGTCTGACGGACCAACGTGCAGCCTGAGCAGTCTGTGACTGCAGCAGAGAGGAAACCTCCTGAGCCAGCCCTTCCCTGCTGAAATGAGCCATTTGCACCACGAGACCAGGGGACAATCTAGCCAGATCTGTTTAAAGCCCAACACAGACCAACATCGAACCCCAAGAATCTGTCCCAGGATTATATTTTTAAAATTGCTTTAAAATCAATTATTTCCCAGGGTCATAATTAGATTATGTTTAAAATGTATTACTTACAAAGAATAAATGGATTACATGAAAAATCTGATCACTTCAAAGTGGATTACTTTTCCAAAAACTACTCACATTTGAAATCTGAATGCGCTTAAAAAAGAAACAGATTCTGATATTGTGAACAGGTTACAGTTTTCAACATGTTTTTATAATTGTGCTTCAAAATCTAATCCTATTTCTTTTTATTCTGCTCCAAAAATGGGATTACATTTAAAATATCCAACATGTTTTTCCTCTGTCCTGATTGAATCAAGGAGGAAAAAATTTAATCCCTCAGAACAAACATGTAATACAGAAAAAGGGAAGGGAAATTTAAAACCATACCTCACGGTTATTGGAACCCTGTGCAGGAAGTGAGGGAAGCCAAAGACAGTGAAGTGTTTTCTGAAGACTTCTGGTGGGAGCTGGTGCATCATTGCTTAGCCAAGGGGAGCTTATTGTGCTATTCCTGATGAACTATTAATGTTTATCTCCGAATGTGAATGCCCTGGGGTTCTTTTCCACCACTCTAGATAGTCTTCAAGTGGTGTCTGATTCCTGCCTCACTTGGAAAAGCTGTAGTACTGTTTCACCTCTGCAGAGCCCACTGCCAGCAGCAATGAGATGTGAAACTCATGCTGAAATTCCCCCAGACCTGCTGTACCCTTTCAGCCTGGTAATCTGTGCCAGTGCACACTGTGACAACTCTGCTGAGGAACCCAACAGGATATTGATCGTTGCCAGCTGAGGCTTTCAAACGTGCTGTTGTATTCAAACCCTCTCTTATTGTAACATCCAAGCATTATCTTTCTTTGTTCAACTAATTGTTCAGAATGTCACTCAAAATTCAGTATTTTATAACTGTATTGAATTGGTAAAATCTGATTCTTTTGATTAAAATAATTAGGATAAATTTATGTTCAGAGACACAATTTGATTAGGTGAATGAACATTTCATTTCCCTGTACATAATCCCAGTGGTATCTAATACAGGTTCATCTGTAGTTTCAATGGAAGAAGACAACATCAGATCCTACCCGGATAGGCCTATGACATTCAGCTGTGTTTACTTATGGAGTCAGCATGAGGTCAGATTGTCAGTGTTACATTTCTTGTACACTCTGATGGTGCTCGACAGTCCAGTAAAAATATCAGGATGCAGATTTTTCCCCCAAAAGAGCAAATACTTTGTCAAAACCATCCATGGTACAAAATGGATTGGTCTAAGGAGAAGTTGCATCTCTTGGTAATACAGATTCTTTCTTAGTAAAAATGAGTAATGACATCTCCCTCTCCAGCCTGAGGCACACTCTGACAAGACGTTTCAGCAGCAGAAGTTGCAGCAAATGGAACTCCTCTTTTAAATGCCCAGAGTCTGTCAACATTTCCTGTCTCATGAGGTTGCAACATGATCTTACCAGGTATCCCTTCCACTAGAGCCACTTTGCAGGCTGGAGCTTTCCACCTCAGTCCCTTCCCACATGGTGACTAAACTCTTAGGAAATAATGCATCAAAATATATTTGATACAGAATACCTTTTCTGATGCAGATATCACCTATTCTATTGTCTCTTGAGAATAACATCAAATAGAAGCTGGGCTGTAAGAGGGATGGAGAGAAGGTCTCAAAGGGAAAGGCTATTGAAATAGTCTATTGAAAAATTTATTTTTCAGCCAGAATAATACAATCCACTCAAGTACTGACATTAGAAACTTTGCAAGCAAGCATTAATATCACATCTTGGTGTTATCTGTAGTTTTTGGTGCTCAGGTATTTAACAAAAAGCGAGTAGAATGAGGGCAGTTATATTAGTGAAATTTATGTAGTGCTAATGGAATGAAAGAAGTTTTGTTAAATTCCTAGCAATGCTACATCCGTCCCCACTCTTTGTCTCTTAATTCATTCCTCTTGATCTTCCCAGTGATTGTCTTTGGCAGCTCTTGGACAAATTCCACCTAAATAAAATAAAGAGAGAAAACAATGTAGCATGTTCTACCGTGTTGGTTTTCCAAGACCAGCTCTCAGCATATGTGGAAAACTGAGAGGACTCCTGTCAGTAAGAACTGCCTGCCTAAAGGATCATGTCCAAGCCAAATCAAGGCAGCACATTGTGCCACTTGTGAAACCACTCCTTTGCCTCTTATTTATTAACTGCGAGGAGCAGTAGATAAAAGTTTATTCAGATTCAGTCATGTGCTCCCCTAAAGGCACCAGTGAGTGCTTGGTTGAAGGTTAAATACAAAATGGAGAATTATGATTGTGGGTCTGACCTAGAACATGCAGCTCTAACTAAGGATGTACGAAGTCTAGAAATTTTTGAGATATTTAAACAAACACTTTACTCAAATGCATGAAGATCCATGTGAACTAGTATTATTTAGGAAAGATCTTCTGTAGCCAGTGGTCTAGAAGAATCTTTACTGCTGTCTCTTTCAGCTGAATCATGAACCTGTAAATAGTAATTCTCCAGAGACTTATGGAAGGGTGTCCTGGTTTAAAGTTTCTCCTCAGAAGCATTTACCTTTCGAGGGTATTTATATGGAGCAGTGGTTTTCTTCACATGGTCCTGCAAGTCCTGGGCTAAGCTCTTCAGGTCACTGGATGAAAAGGCTGGTGACAGAATCACAAATGCTTTCACAACCTGTGAGATAAGATTAACGAAAGTGCTCCATTTTTAAGAGCTGATATACAGGTCACCAGGGAGCAGTGTTGCTCCGAGTCATGACATTCAAAAGGGAGGAACAGGGAAACCAGCACACCGTAAGAAATGATTGTGCCCAGCTTCTGCACATGCACGTGCAGAAGGGAAAGTTGAAAGCACAGCTTTCCTGCCCTCGTTACAAAGCAAAAGCCTTTGCCGTTTCCTCTCAGCATCAAGAGGAAGGGGCAACAAAAGGTGCCTGTAGAATTCTACCCAAGGCTAAGGGACAATTTGTTTCTTTCTGAAGTTCACACTGAGGATGGTAAGCCCTATTATCCTAGCACAGGACTGTGCTTTCACCACCCCTGCAGCCCAAATCTAATGCCAGGGCAGTTACAGTATAACTTTGGCTACACCAAGACAGTCATAAATGACAATTTCAGTGTACAGAAAAATGCTTAGGAACAAGGAGAAAGTAAACATCACTGTAATATTCTCCACAAAGGAGACCTTCTTGGGATCAAAAGAAACTCAGAAGAGCAAAGGCATGTAAATGGGAAGGGATTTTGCTTGTCACCCCAGGTAGGATTATGCATGATACAAGTAGATGAGGTGCTTAAGGTCATGGTTTAGTGGTGTATGTGGCAGTGCTGGGCTGGACTCAATGATCTTAGAGGTCTTTTCCAACCTAAAGGATTCCTTGATTCTAAGATGACATGACTGCCTTAGAGCTGTACATTATTCAGTAGAAATCTCTTTATACCATCATATATTTAGACAAACACGTTGCTTCCCTCCTCCACCACTCAGAGTCATTACCTCTCCTCTGAGGGGATCTGGGCTGCTGACAACAGCTGCTTCTACCACAGCTGGGTGCTCTATCAGGGCACTCTCTACTTCAAATGGCCCAATGCGATACCTAGTAAGGAAAAATAAAATGGGATTTGGCTTTTTTAAGTGGAAAACAAGTACCAAATGTACAATTTTTAATTGTACTATTGAAGAAAAAAACCCTCCAAACCAGAACAAATTAACAAACAACTATAGAAACTTCAGCCAAAATGGGGAAGCTGGAAAGTAGGAGCATTTCAGAGTGGTCATGTTGTAGAGGACTGCTGGGGCTGTGGATTCCTCTCCATCTCTCCCCTTTCTTCGGGGCTCCTAATCTGGAGCTCCATCCCACTGATAGCCAGGATCTGCAGTAGCAGCTGGTGCCACATTATGGTATCCCATCATATAATACCAAATTTTATCATTTTATTATGTTAAAGTGCTTCAAATGCTCTTTGAATCCAATAGAGATGTCCTTCAATTCTAGTCAAAAATGAACTAGACAAAAATCCCTCCTCAGCCAGTTGAAGTCTTCATTCTTTGTTGAAACAGATGAGATGTTGCAGGGGAAATGGATACAGAGATGCCACTGATATCACCAAGATGATACTGCAGGTCTATGAAAAGCTAATAATAAAAACAAGTATTCCTAAATCAAGAGGTCAATACATTCATCACAGGATTATTATGTCAGAAGCTCACTAGGAACACGACATGTAAGATGATATAATGGCAGATTTAGAGAGAAGTGTGCAGACTGACCCTGAAGAAATGATGATGTCATCATATCTTCCAATAAACTGATAATACCCATCTTCATCCATAGTCCCTCTGTCTCCAGTGACATAAAAATCCCCACGTTCAGTTTCTGCAGTTTTCTTAGGGTTATCCTTAAAGTGGTTTACAAACAGTAGTTTAGATTTTGAGCATGAATTAGCTATTTATCATGCTATAATGCACATACACATCCTTGACTGAAAAATTAAGCTCCAGTGCATTTGACAGTAAGAATTGTATTGATACTGTTATCATCATCATCATGGCTAGGCTTCGTGAAATATTTCCTATATGATATTGCTATAAAATACAATAAAATATGTTTAAAATAATTGTTATTCTTTAAAAAAAAATTAAACTCAATCTTGAGCAAATTCTTCCCTTTTCTAACACCCACCAATCCAAATAAACCAATTACTGTGGTAATAAATAATAAACTGGTGAGAAATATTCAGCCTTTTGAACCACTACGCAACTGGAGAGATTTTGGAGGAGATTGGTGGTGGTAAGAAAATAAAGTCCTTACTACATATTCAGAGAAAAAACCAAGTGGTCTTATAGGTTTGCTTCTGACAGCAATTTCTCCCTGTTGTCCTGGAGGCAGGATATTAGCATTTTTGTCTACGATCTAGAACAAAAAACAACATGTATATTAGTTCAGTGGGAAAACAAACCCTAAACACAACCCCAAATAAACAAAAAGCCCTTATGACAGAATCTGAAGAGCAGTCAACAAACCTGAACATCATAAAGGGGAGCTGCCTTCCCCATTGATCCAGGTTTAATCTTCATTCCTTTAAAAACAGAGCAGATTATTCCCTGTAAAAATCAAACCAAAGTTTTGCAATAGAAACCTGCTACGTTTACACTCGATTAATTACATATATTTTCTAGACTAACTACAAAGTAAGGAATTAAGATTCATAGGATCCTATATGCCAGTGTTGTATGGTAGGGATAAGAAAAATCAGGAAACTCCCTGGAAGAATCCTGTTCCACGATCTGGGAAGAATTCATGCCCTGTGCTAACCAGTCTTCTTCCCTTAGGTTCAAACTCTGCCCTCTTGACTCTCACTCTTTCTTGGAATTTGCTTAAGGACATTTGTGGAAATATTAGGGAACATCTGCTCCCAACAACCCACGTTTCTGGCAGGTTCTGTGGGGGGAGCCATGACAGGACCTTCTTTCAGAGGTTATCAGGGGAAGAGGTTGCTGAAACATTCACGGAAACATGAATGAAGAAACACACCGTATTCATTCATAACAAACCTTAAAATATCGTAAAGCAAAAAGGAATTCCAAAGATTTAATAGAACATGGACCCTACAGATGTACCGTTTCAGTTTGGCCATAAACTTCATGGATGTCCACCCCAGTCTGGCTCTTCCACTGCTCCATGACTTCTGGGTTGACTGGTTCCCCTCCACTCACGCAGTACTTCAGGTTCATGAATTTGTAGCTTCACAGGGAGTTAACAAAACAAGAGGCAGTACTTAATCTACTGGGCAAGACAAGGAGCACACAACTGTAAACAACATTGGAGACCCGTTTACTGGGAGAGTTAGTCCCATGAAGGGGGGAAATCAGAGCATCCCTGATCCTTCAGCTCCTGATAGAACAAGGACGTCGGTCTGTGCTCAACACCTAACATGAGTAGTAGCAGTCAGAGTTAAGCACACACGAAAAATAAAGTAAAACTTTTGCTGAAGTCAGCCTGGATTATAACTAACCACAGACTGATTTGCTGAGCCAGGGCCCTGATTGCTGACCCTCTGCAACAGGGCAAGGGAGAAAGTGCAAGAGGGGAGGAAGGAACAGGCAGTGAGAACTGGAGCAGGGGATGATGAGCAACTGCCACAACCACTAACTCCCTCACAGTTGTGCTGACACACACTTTCTAGGATGAATTCCTTCCCAAAGCATGGACAATGAATGCGGTAATCGAAAATTATGATAAAGAATTTAAGAGACTGTTCCATACCCTCAGGGGTTTGCTCACAAGTTCAGTAGCGAAGTCTCAAATTTCTTAGGGAAAGCATCAAGTTTCTCTATGTTTGATCACTAAAACTCATCAAAACTCAAATTTTGTATGACGGCCTTTTCATGGAGAATATTGTGAACTAAATTATTGCCCTATTTTGGGTCAAACAGCTGGATATGGGAGATCACTAAAGCTTAGTCAGGGTAAATTAAACATTAGTAAATAATTTCTTGGCATACCTGGAGAGATCATTTTGCACCAGCATGCGGAACAACGTTGGAGCACCAACCAGCACGTCAATTGGGAAGCTGCAGAGAGTCTGGTGAGTTAAACAAGATGGGCACGTGAAGCTCAGACAAAAAACTGCCTTGTGAATGTACAGTAAACAGGTGACATAGAAAGGAGAACTACATTTGCCCCCTCTGTAAAAGTACCACTCTGTTGGGTAAGGAACCCTCCTGCAGTTGGTGCAATATGCAGAGATTCACAGTATATCTGACTGGACAAAATCCCATGCTCATACACGACAACTAGACTCCAGTGCTTGGGGCATGATCAAAATAAGCCCATCTCTGTCTGCATCATAGGGAGGTTTTCACTTTCTTCTTGTCCAGTGTAGGCAGAGAAATGCTTTAGTTTCAGTCTCTATTAATACCAGCTGATATCACTTCCACAGTCATTAGAATGAATGAATGGCAAGCAGTAAGTGCTGCTTTTGGATGATTTTCATTGACATGCTCACCAGTTTTGAGCAAAATGTATGAATGAATCATATGTTTGGCCCCTTCTGTATACATGAAAAATGCAAATATGGGCTTTACACAACAGATGGAGCATCTCAAACACAACCATGGACACAACCTTCATGAAATCTATGGAAGCTGTTAAGAATTATTTTTTGTGCCCTTTCTGCAGGTTAACACATTTTCATGAGTTTTTCCCTTACATTTAGGATGACTGCTGAGTCAGTCTGTGGTAGGTTATGTATAAAGACACATGACCCAAAAACCCAGGGATCATAAACAGATGCCACTGAAGTTAGTATCCATCCTGTGTCTGCTGTGTTCCATATCATGCCAGAAGGTGTCAAATCTAACCAGTACCTGATGGAGCAGGAAAAAAAAAGAATGAAAAGATAATGAAAAATATTTGCTTAAAAAGCCCAAACCCAAACCACAAACAAAGAAAACAAAGAAACCCAAAGAAACCCAAAAGGCCAAGATTTCTGACAAGATACATGTGCACTGAGCACTCAAATAAGTTTAAGAGATAGCTCTAGGATAAAAGGACACCTACCTATATGTTTGCACAAATATACATATACAAACCCACATATGTATATCCTACATATATGATGGCAGTCACAATAAAGGATAGAGTGGAGCAGAGAAGGGAGTCTGAATATCAATGCAGTGGCTTTCCAGTAGGTAGGAGGATAGGGCTGAAACTGCAGCATTCAAGGATTCTGTGTTGGAGACCAGATGTTTCAGTTCTAAGGCTGCTGAGAGACTGAGTGACCTGTGCAACCAACAAACTCTGCTCATCTACACACATCACAGAGCTTTTTGCAGCCCAGTGTGGTATCTTTTGGTTCTCTGCACTGTGATATTCCCAGTTGACTGCTGTCCTTTGAACCACTCTGGAAAGAGGGTAAGAGATATTAACTGAAACATAGAAACATTGGGGATGATCCTACTCCCCTGGAAATTTGCTGGAGTTTGTAGTCCGATTTCAAAGGGAGAAGGACCAGAGCTGTACATTGCTATTTCTTACTCAGTAATTTTTCACCAGTTCTACTAAGCAGCTTCAATTACCTTATATTCAAATCAGGCTCAAGCCTTTCATACCTTTCACTTAAAAGGGGTCTGAAACCAAGACTACCCTGGGAATGTTGAGTCATCTTAGGAGAACCTGTGGTTCCACTGGTAAAGAAGATAATCATTGGGTCTTGAATCCTTGTTTTGACACAGGAATGGTCAGCAGCTTGGTTTCTTTAAAAGAGAGAACGTAATAATGATTTCAATGGTTCCTTTACACAGGCTTCAGAATGTAATGAAGTATTCCAAATAAGCTTCACAGAGTTTCAGAAAATTATACTAAAATAACGTGATGTTATACTTCCTCAAAGACAGACCTCCCCTTAAAAAGAAGAGGGTAGAAGCATCCCAGAATGAGACCACTGTTAGCAAACATCTCAATGTGGATTAGCAATCTATTAACTCATACTCACTTGCAGAGCTCAGTGAAGTTCAGCCACCCTTCCCTACTGTCCTTGGACACCATTAGCTTGGTTTTCAGAAGCTGACACTCAGATGCCACCGAATCCACTGCAGGAGCCACTTTGTCAGTGGTAATTATGCACGTGGCCTTTGATGCCTGGAGTCGATATAGGATGTCTTTGGCTGATAACTGGGATACCCCTGGAATTAAGACAATTCCTGGAAGAGAGATAAAGTTAGTTTAGGTTGGTATATTTTTTTTACATCTGATTCTTTTCTAGGAATCTAAACTATAAACTATTCCCAAACTGACCTCTGATATGGATTTGTCCCGGTGTTCCCCAGACAAACAGTTATACTGAATAGTGCAGATGCTTGTGCTCTCCTGTAAGCAATGACACGTGGACCTGCCTGGTGACTTCCACGGTTCTTCCCTGTATTCTGGCCAGTTGTCCTATTGCACCTAGTGCAAACCCTTCAGGACTGCCTGCATAATTGGTAGTTGGGCCACTCACTGGATTATTACATTACTTTTCCTTCATAAACCACATACATTCTTGATCCTTTCAACCTAATTGCAGTAACAATTTTGCCAGTCTCAGATATGCTCACTGACCTGCTCTCATACAGGCCACATTCACCAGCCACCACTCTGGGATTCGTGGTAGGATCACGATAAGTCTGTCCCCCTTCTGCAGCCCACAGTCTTTAGTCAGCACATTGGCCACTTTCCGAGACAGGAACCCCAGCTCCTCAAAGCTCCACTTCACTTCTTCTCCTTTTCCATTTATCCACCAAAACGCAGGGTTTGGTGGTCTCTTTCCAGCCTACAAAGCATAAGGATTCAAACACAAAACATTTTCTTCTGACAGACCGTGAAATTATAATGCAAAACCAACCACAAATTATGGAAGATCTGACTATTTCACAACTGGCTTATAAGCTGTTATTTTTCCCTTGTCCTTAATGGATTGAGATGTGCTATGTGTCACGCTCAGGTATTCCCAACAGATTCTCCTTTTCTGAACCTGAAATGTTTACCACCCTAATTGTCTCCAGACCCAAATTATTTCAAATGAATTTCAAATTAGAGTATCTCCTTGGCACAACAAAAGATCATCTACCTTTTCAATCTCAGACCATTTGTCCAGTACATCACTTGCATAGTTAAAGTACTTTGGTATTTCCTGTTTGCCCCGTCTGATGGACTCATACTGGGAATGCACATCAGAGGCAAGCAGCCTGGGGTGTCCATGGAGAGCCCTATTAGGAGGCTTCAAAGTCCACAAGAATTTTAGACTCTGCAATTTAAACAACTTCATGGCAGAAAATGAGGTCTGTAGATGCTGTAGACTATGTAAGGAAATGAGCAGAACTGTTGCTATGAATCCTGCAACAAAAACAAAAAAAAAACAAAAAAACAAAAAAAAAAAACAAAAAGAGAAAAATAATATTAAGATTATCCAAAGAAAATCCAGTTATGAATTAATGAGTTATTAATTGAATTCACTTAGGCTAGTAACAGCCAGACTGATGATTTTAACACTCCAATTAAATGTGAAGTTCCCTATCCTGCTTTCTCATATTTTTGATTTTTTAATTAATTGCCTACAACTCTCCATACTCAAAACCAACATCAGATGTTATTATTTGCATTAGAATAAGGTTCCTGCTTCTTACTACAAAGCATTCAGTAGCTAATTCTCTATTCCTTTTCTACTAGACTTCTTCCACTAGATACTGACTGCTTTAGCTTCAACAGTTGCTGACTGATATATCCACTGACCACATCCATCCAAAGAGCCTTCACTTCAGTAATCCCTTATGCAGGCACCAAATTTGATACAGACATTTCTGCATATGCTTCTTGTAAATTCTCTCTTCCATCTGTATTCACCGTAACGATCCTAAAATTCTCAAGTCTAATTACTTCCTTTCCACTGCTACTTTTTTCTTTCTCCTTATATAATCTTATAATGCTGCTGCTGATTATTTCTTTTCCACAGACCAGAGGATTATTCCAGAGCTGTGCTCAACTCTAAAGATTGTAATGGTATTTAGAGGCTTCTCATAAGTGCACATGAAGATTATCAAACAGGGGGAAAAGAAACTGGCTTGGGTCTGGAAAAGCCCACAGTCGGATCAGGAGCCAGGGGAGTCCTGGAGGCCTCTGATGATTTCAGAACCTAAGTCCAACTATCAATTTGCCTTTTTCAACCACTAAACTCAATTACTCAGTTACTATACTCAGTACAAGGTTTAGGGTAAGTGACTCCTGAAATACAGGGCAATTTTAATTTCTGTTCTTACAAAGGAGGAAATCATCCACTAACTATCAACAAAATTACAGGTAAACTCTTAATCAAATTCTTTTTGATGCAGAATTTCTGTGGCCTGAGTGAATCTGCAAAGTTTTGCCCTTTGTCCCAGGTTTTTAAGTACACTTTGTAGTCTTTCACCCCTTGTCCCATGTCTTCAACCATAACCATTTGTCCTCACATCTCTGATGCATGGATCTCAGTCTTGGTCAAATTTTACTCCTCAAGAAAAAGTAACTTCTTTAACATTGGAATTATTTCCTTATTCCTCTGCAGAAGCTTTTACAGGAAGATTTAATCTGCCTATCAGGCAAATTAATTCAAATACATAGAACTTAACACATCTTAATTTTTTCAGCCATATCTGACAGCATAAAAAATCTGGATGCAGATTTCCCCCCAGAACAGAGACTTAGTCAAAACCAAGAGTAAAGAGGAATTCCTGGTGTTCTCCATGTTCCATGGAGGTTGTGGCAGAGAAACACTGACCAGCTGTAAACAATCCTATAGGATATCATTTGCTGCTGAGAAAGAGTCTTAGGACCTGGATATAAAATTAAGTGTTATGATGTCCCTAAGTGACACTCACTTCAGAATCAGGATTACATAAGAAAAAGTTCTTTAGAGAGTACTTACACTTTAAAGCAGAGCACTATTAAGAGGACTTGGTGGAAAAAAATTCTTTTAAAAAAGTTTGAGTGGTGAAAAATCCTATTTGAAATATTCCCAAACTCTGTGCAGAGAAAATGGGCATTAATAAAGGGGGGGTTATGTCATATTTTGGATATACAATAATAAGTATTGTTTTTCTCTTACTTAAGGAAACAACTACCAGTAAAAATATCACTATTTTCATGAAATGGAACATTTCTTTGAGGTTGTGAGCTCTACTGTTAATGCTAAAAAACAATGGATGCACTTTGATTCCTTGAACAAACAAGCCTAATCATTTTGGTTATTATTTTCAATAACTTAAAAGGATATTTATAATTTCTTAGTCTGCTCTAATTCTATGATTTAACTGTGATCTACAGATTTCAGAGCATTACAATGACAAGATCTACACAATACCTTGTCAAGAAAAGAGGGACAGAACATTCAGGAACAGTATTCAGGATCAGAAATGGTATTCAAGACTGACAAGATGAAAGACATTTTAAATTCAGGATTCCCCAGTGATCTACCAAAACGTCTGCTAAGTTTTGCTGTGAGACCCTTCAAGATCATAGCACTTTCTCACCTGCAAACCTGGAGGTGAAAATGAAGTAAAAAAAAAGACCCAGTAATGGCAAAGTCCTTTGAATGACTCCAAGAACCAGGAATTATTATTCTTGGTTTAGTACCATCTGCTTCTGCTCAACGATCATTAACATGAGGAATTCAGACAAACAACATTTTCCTGACCTGTCTGCTGTGGACAGGAGAGACTGAGAGCTGGCTGGGGCAGATCCTCTTCGTTCAGTTTGCTTGGCTTTCACAACATATTTCCTAAAAGAGACGCTCACCTGGAGACGCGAAACACGGACTGTCTGTCAAAAAGGATCTGAAGTGAAACCCTTCCTACTTTATCCTTTGCTTCTTCTGAAGTAATGAGAACAGAACGTAAAACAGACTAAGTAGCAAAAGTGTTTCCATGAAGTAACCTTTTTCTTGTAATCATTTACACCCTTGTTAATTGTGCATAATTTGCACCTTAACCTGAAGCACTTTGGATCTTCTTTTACCTCCACTTTAACCATTCAAGTAGAACAGAAATTCATCAATGTCTTTCTCTTTCCACTCAGAAAGAATTTGGAAAAATTACAGTGGTATTCTTTGAAGATAATGTATCAATGCTCTGCTGGTACCCACTACTGGAAAAAGCAAGACAAAGACTATTTTTATTATTTTCCCTTTTATTTATATGTATCAAAGTATTGTAATTACACTTTTTAAATAAAAACAATCCTTTGTAGGCTCCTGGGTGTGTCCTTTCTCTCTCCCATTCCACACTCCTAATTATTTGCATCTTCTGTGTTCTGAAAATTTTTAGGTTGATGGCAAAAGAGGTTCCAATACCAATACCACACATCCTCAAGCCATATGAGTGTTTTTGCCTTTTTCTTCCATAGCTTGTTTTTCTAGATGTTCTCCTAGTTCTCTGGGTCATGACCACATGCCAAATTGATGTGTTATTGCTGGTACCAGTGATGGAACTTTTCTCTCCTCGTTTTCCAGATCACTCTTGCCCTTGTCATTCTCTCCCCCACTCTCTGTTCCTTAGGACTTTTCTCTGGATTTTCCCACTAACCGTCTTGGGCAGATCCTGAACAAACTCCACCTGAAAGGCAAAAATACATTCAGGCTAATTTCCCAGCTGAAGGAAAAATACATTTTACTAAGAGTGGGGGTAAAAAGATGGGAAGCTGCACAGCGAGGGCTGGGATGATGGAATTCTGACTGAATGTCTTGCCCATTTGTGCTGGTGGGAAAACCCCAGTATTCCATGAAAGGAAGTACAGTCATGAGTCCCTTTGGGTTCTTTTGAGCACACACAGTGAACCCAAAGCTACAGCTGCAACACACCCTGTCATCTATTCTGATTTTATTTAGCTGTTGTTGGAGTGTTTGTCAGAGTGCAGCTGAAAAGGAGCTGAGGCAGGACAAAAAATGCTCAGTTTCTAGCACAATTAGAAGACCTGTCTTTTGGGGCTGTACTTACCTTCCTTGGATACTTGTAAGGTGCAGTCACTTTCTTGACATGCTGTTGAAGCTCCTGAGTCAATTTTTCTGGATCATGTGATGCAAAAGCAGGAGTTAAAACAATGAAGGCTTTGACTACCTGTGTCAGAAAAATTAAGGGATTCCATTAACTTTCAGAGGTGGGAATAAAGAGATACATTTCTTGTGAAAAGTGTCTAAATTCATAAAAAAAAATAATCTTTTTCTTTAATTTCCCTTTCATTGTCTCTTTGTGACAGAATGGTGTGTTATGAAGGCTGTGTTCTGCAGCAGAGGATTTTTTTCCACTTTTTTTCACTTAATTTTATATCCTATTAAAGCTGAAGATCTCATCCCAGTTGCTCAAAGAAATGTTGCAAGGTTGAAAAACATAAAATAAAAATTAAACACCCTGGATATCATGGCTACCATGTGCTTAGTGACAAAAAGAGGAGTATATAAATTCCATATCTTATGCAAAAGGATGCCACAGTAAGTCTGAAAAGCCAAACTTTTTTTCCCCACATCAAACCCCACAAACAAAGAAATAATTCTGAAATTCTAAGATTGGCCAAGATATGGATTTAAAAAATTGGGTTTAGCCCATTTCATTTGAAAAATCTGCAATATGCTGAATTCCAAGGAAGCCTAGGACATATAGGCAACTTGATGCTTAAAGAGCATTTTTTTCCACATCTTTTTTCTTTTCCTTTTTACCTCCCCTCGATCTGGATCAGGACTGCTGACAACAGCTGACTCTGCTACTGCTGGGTGTTCGATTAAAGCACTTTCCACTTCAAATGGGCCAATACGATACCTGGGAGAGAGGGAAGATGTGTCAGCTGCAGCAAGATGGGCCAGTCCACTGGTCTTCCCAGATTGCATTTTAACAGGCAAATGATCAAATCTAAAAGCAACTGACTTACCCAGCAGAATTAATGATATCGTCATCTCTTCCAACAAACCAGATATAGCCTTCTTCATCCATAATCCCTCTGTCCCCAGTGACATAAAAATTTCCACGCACAGTGGCAGCAGTTTTCTCTGGATTATCCTGACAAATAATTATCCAAATATTATGGGGGTTCAGAAGCAGATTAAACACAAAGATAGGTCCTGCAAAGCTTATTCAATGATACTTCAAATGCAGTGGACAATAGGTTTGCCTGATTCTACTCTTTTCTTAAGAATATACTGCACCTCAGCACCACCACACAACCAATCAGGCTCAAAGTCCTCAAGTAACCTAGTGAGACCTTCTGAAGATCCTGGATGAAGTCCTGCTCCTGGCATAAAGGAACAGAACTTTGCTCTGGGTCTCCCCTGAGTTTCTCAGCAGGCACAGACACAGCAGCTCAGGCTCACCAGGTACTCAGAGAACAGACAGAAGGGCCGTGTCGGCTGGATTCGGACAGCAATGCTGCCCTCTTCTCCTGCAGGCAAAACAGCCCCATGGTCATCTATGATCTGCAGAAAGGACACATCATTATTCCTTTGGTTAGCTCAGAGGAATGAATCTCTGTTCCAGTGCAGGACAGAGAAGGGACACAGACAGCATTCCTTCCTCATCTACCCCCAACTGCAACATATCGACGTACCTGCACATCAAAAGGGGGAAGGGCTTTTCCCAAAGAGCCAGGTTTAATTTTCGTTCCTTTCATGTTGGCACAGATTGTCACCTGCGTAATAGATTTTAATTTAAAAAAATTTTTTGCAACACCTTGTAAATTTTATTATTGTTTGCATTAGGCAGGACATGTCTTTGTGACTTTGTTGTGACAAGGGCTGAATCAGGACCAAAGTACTGTGGTTCTTGAGAACATCAGAGAGGGGTTGAGAGGCATTTCAGGTCAGATCTGTGGAATGAGGTTGGTTGTGCTCAGTCTGAGCCAGTGGGTTCGTCTGCAAACACTTGACTTTGCAAGAAAATAGATGCGAAAATTATTACAGATCTTATTTCAATAATTTAGGACCATTTCAAGGGTAGGATGAGAGAATGCCTGACATCTGACTCTTAATAGCTTTGTTAGTGTTCACTTCCAGAGAAGTCTGGGATGTGAGCTGCTTTAATATTTTTCATTAAAACCTCGGAGAGGCCAAATTTATAGCCAGAGCAAATTATTCCTTTTTAGTTCTGCCTTTGATGTAAAGATGATGACAGGATCACCTACCACTTATTTCATCTGAGGTGTCTCTGGCATGGTGCTTACAGGGATGTGAACCATTAAAATATGCAGCTAGCTGATTCTGAAACTATATAATCATAATTATAAAAAGTCTTTAAAAAAATACGATGGATTCTCACCTTTTCCACTGATTTATCAAGGACATTGTGACTCTGGTGTAGTTACCTTTGAAAGGGCATAATGCAAGAATTAATGGAAACGTACTGTTTCAGTCTGGCCGTAACCTTCATGGATATCCACCCCTGTCTGGGACTTCCACTTTGCCATCATTTCAGGATTGAGTGGTTCCCCTGCAGATATGCAGTGTTTCAGACTCATCATCTTGTACCTTTAGAGGAATAGCAAATGAAATAATTTTTTTTAACTTTTGAAGAGAGCAGTGAATGGTCTTAACCACACAGCCTCCCTTGGCTTTCCAAGTACACCCAAAGCTGAGGGTAAGGCTGAATAGGAACACACATCCTGAGCTTTCTGCTTAACCTGTGTTGGCTTCTGCCAGGATGAAAGACCTATGTGAGAAGAGTAAGTACCTTACTGAAGATGTGAAAACTCCTTACAAACCACTTCTCACAAGCTGAGTATTTCACAGTGTAACAAACTGGTGCAAACAGCTGCCAAATAACTCTCAGCACGTGAAACTCCTCTTACTGCTCATTTCATTCTCAAGCATACGAGAACAATTTCACTGTACTTCAGTAATTCCCTGATCCAATGCTGCCTGAAACTTGACATAAGTTTAAATTATGAACTGTAAGTTCAGAGGAAGTGACAACTTAAAAAGATTTCACTTGGTCCTTCTGTGCTGTCTTTTCAAAGACCCAGCCTGAAGCCTGAGTGACCTATGGTGTGACTGGTTATTCTCATATTTCTGAACACAGCTCTCTTTCCTGAGAGCACTCTTCCTAATTAGATTTCCTTTAACTGAAAAAAAAAAATAAATTAGAAATAAGGAACTGGAGGAACTAAGCAGCCAGAGCTGTCACAGCATTATATCCCAGCCTCCCTCCTACCCCTGCAGTACCTGCTCAGATCATGTTGGACCAGCATGCGGAAGGCAGTGGGAGCAGTGCAGAAGGTAGTGATGGGGTATTTTGAGAGAGTCTAGAAAAAGAGAAAGTTATTTTGCAGAAAGAAAATGTAATGGTGGGTCCCACTGCTGTAGAACACACAGAACTTTCTGTCCAACAGAAGTCATATACGAAAATGAAAGACCACTGAGTGCAGTAGTTCCAATTAAGATTGTTTTGTGCTTTCCAAGGTGTCCATGTCCCAGGCCCAAGCCTAAGTTCTGATAGGGAACTAGACCAAAGCTTTTCCAGATTTATTCTTGGGAAAGTCAGGGTCCCATCCCCACACAAGAGGCCAGGGTTGAAGCGAGTTGGCCAGCTTAGTGGTTTTGAGAAATGGCTGAGAGAAGGAACAGGAATTCTGGCAACTCTGGATGGCTTGAGAAATGGATTACTAACCTCTGCAATAACTGCTGGTTTAAATTGTGGCATGTGGTGTACAAAGACACAAGATCCACAGATCCATGGTGCAAAAACACTGCCCCAAGCTGCTTTTGCCCATCCAGTATCAGAGGTATTCCACATTATATCTGAAGGAGTCAAGTTCATCCAATGCCTGGTGAAAAA